ATGTAGTATATATGTACACATACAGTACTTATTTGGGTGTCACAGAGCTTTTCAAAAAAAGAAAGAAGAACATATGTTTAAAGATTGCCTACACTTTAAAAAAAATAAAAAAAAAAAAAAAAAAACAGTCTTATGGTCCACTGAGCCAACAGTGGTTCTTCCTACTCGATTTGGAAGGGAAGTCAGAAGACCCTTACACCCAATTCCAACACTTACATTTGTTTTTTCTCATTCAGACAGATCAGCTTATGAGGAAGAATCACTGACAAAATTCCAGTCTGAAATTCCAAGAAGTCTTAACCAGAGACTGGTGTCCGTTTGTTGCTTAAGGCATGCAGCTTTGAGCACATAATCTGTACTTAAAGGAAATTTGGATTTGCATGTGACTGCATGTTTTCTCTTCAGGTTTGGAACAGTTGCACTTTTACCCTTCTCTCTCTGTGGAATATTAATCACATGTTAATCTTAATGTCCTACTTGGGGACAACTACAACTATAGAGAATGTGATCAATGCCTGACACAATCTACTTAGTTTACAGATGATTCAGGTCTGACTTTCAGTATATGGATAGAAAAACCTCCATCAAAACTAAAACTAACTACTAACTAATCATGGCTTACATTTGGGTGATATGACAGCAAATACAGGATTGTATATAGTAAACAAAGATATAAACGTTTATCCATACAATCAACAACAAATAGTAAAAAAGTAGACAACTACATCAACAGTACTATTTGTGACTATGTATCTATGTAGAATGCACATAAAAGTCATATAAAATAGTGGAAAGGCACAGAGACAAAATAGTAAATGAAACACACCTGTGTTGGACTGACAAGCTGCAGCAGCAGGACTCCACAGACAGTTCCTTATACCTTCTCCCAGAAACAACTGTAGAGCTGTAAAATGTCTTCTGTGGAGAAAAATCACAGCACAGAGACTTTCCTAGGGTGTTCCTTCACTGTGTGATCTCCCTGCTCTTGTCCTTTGAGTTAAACAAAAAGCAATGCCACACCTGACTGATGATGTGCTTGTTAGACTGGTGTAAATCAAAGCCGGTGGGTATCTGGGCGGGGCTGAAAGCTAAGGAACATGACCTGACCAAACAGGCCTTTCAACTTTGTCATCTCAAAGATGGCATGCGTTAGAACAGATTTGCAATCAACAGATATGCCAAAGTCTTGAGTTACTTTTAGTAATTAGTTCTGACCTACAAAGGTCTTAAAGAGAGTAATGAGCTGACAATTCTGTCTGATATCAGAGTGGTTTTCTGAAAGCAACCTGCTGAAAATGTGAATGTCAATGTTTACATCAGTGAGAAAGTCATTTTCCTTCCGTCTATATGGGTTCTCAGTCTACCAGGTACCATGGTAGCCCTTTTTCACACCTTGGATGGGAGGTGACTCTTCAAGAAACTTAAAGAAGTCCAGTTGCTTTCTTTTAAGCTCCTTCGCATGCATACACACACAGGTAGACACACATGCACACATATTTTGCTGCCCTAAACTACTCAGTAAATCTGAAACAAAAAGGAACCCCCTGCAGGCTTGGCTTCAGGAATAAAGCTAGAGTTACATTTAAGTTTGGTACTCTGTTGTGATGGTCAAATGTAGCGTTAAGGGGGCCATAAGATTATGAGTATTCTTACATCTTACAACTGTGGTCTACATACACTCATCATGGACTTGGATGTTGTGGTATTTGGACGTTATAAATGATTTCTTTGAACTGTTCTTTTTATCAAGATTTGAGTGCAGAGGTTTGACTTTATTTTTGATTTTCTATAAGATACATACAAGGTCAAAAATGTAGAAATAAGCTTAAAGACACTGGTACAAAAATAAAGGAACACATAGAAAACACAGATCTTAAAGGAAAAAAAATCTTGCTGGGTATATATTATTGAAATGGACTGAGTAATATGTTAGGAATGAAAGGATGCCATATTTTTTTGATGGAAATGAACATTATTGTCTTACAGAGGACTGGAAATACGCCTCAAAAATGAAAGTGAAAAAATGTGGCAGATTAGTCCATATTGCTGAAATTTCATTGGTGCAGCTCAAAATGGTACTTTGTATGGCCACCGTGTGCTTTTAAGCATGCCTGACAATATTGTGGCATGCTCCTAATGAGATAACAGATGATATTCTGCTAGATCTTCTCCCAAATCTGGACCAAGACTGTCTGAGGTGGAAAGTTACAGACAAAATAACATTCTCCATAGTTTCTCCACGCTCTATCCAAGAACACTGCAGCAGTGCTGGGCCTGCCATTTCTGGTATTCTCTGGCAAATGCCAGTTTAGCTCCATAGTGTTGGGCAGTAAGCACAGGGCCCACTAGATTTGTGTAAATTTGACAAGCTGAACGCATTCTGTACTGTACAGGAGAAACGGCACAAGATTGATTGACAATGGGCTACAGCCATTGTTGGGGGCTTGGATCTCTCCCATGGAGTCTGTTTCTGACTCTTTGGTCAGAGACATTCCCACCATTGGCGTGCTGGATGTCATTTTTCAGTGGTCAGGGAGTACTCATCCTGTTCCTTCTTGCTCAAACTTCTACAGCCCTGTCCAGCTCTCCTAGAGTAGCTGCTTGTCTCCTGTAATCCCCTGCATGCTCTTGAGACTGTGTTGGGAGACACTGTAATGGTAATGGAATACAGTGGTCCCTCGCTATAACGCGGTTCACCTTTCGCGGCCTCGCTGTTTCGCAGATTTTTTTTCGTGCAATTTTGCATGCATTTTTTTTAACAGCGCATTGTGTTCTGCATCCTGATTGGCTGTAGCCCATTGTCAATCAATCTCGTGCCGTGTCGCCTATACAGTACAGAATGCGTTCAGCTTGTCAAATTTACACAAATCTTTGATTGCTAGCGGTGTGACTCTGAAGTGCTGTACTTTATGTTTTTAAGTTTTCTCCCCAACAAACACAACAATGTTGACGAAATGTTTTGCACCCTCAAAGGCAACAGTGGGTGCCTTTGGTTTGATCCTATAATACTGGACTTATTTTTCTACGAAGGTTTGAACTTTGAGAGTTTAAACAAGAGAGAAAAGTGTGAAAATGTTCATGCCTGTCTGAGAAAAGTGTGTAGTGAGGGGTTTTACAGCCTTAAAACATCTATAATAATTGTAAAAAAAAAAAAATGAAGTTGTCTACTTTGCGGATTTCACTTATCGCGGGTTATTTTTGAGACGTAACTACCGCGATAAATGAGTGACCACTGTATACTGATGTGCCATCGTGGAGGAGTTTGGCTACCTGTGCAACCGCTATAGGGTGCAAGTATTGCCTCAGTAACACTGACCTAAGCCACATGCATGACTAAAAAAGTCACAACAGATTAGGAGGGGGAAATGTGAGTGGCCTCCATGTGTAAAACCATTACTGTTTTGGGAGCTGTCTTACTGTTGGACCTCTAGTGCACTCGTTGATAGTTTCATTATCACAAAAGTAGCTAAAAGTGATTAACAACCCCTTGTGCTACGTAATTAACCGGATCAATATCACAAAAGTTTAACTGGCTTAATGCTATACATATATTAAAAAGTGTTCCTTTGTTTTCTTTAGGAAGCATTTATACACATACATTGTCAGTAGAGAATGTAACTAGGCAGCATCAGTTGGTAGCCTATAGGATTGCTCTGGACAAGACAAAGCGAGTTAAGTTGAAGGAAAGGAGTAACTGGTGGAAGTTAAAGAAAGAAGAATTTTGCAAAGAGTTCAGTGATGAGTACAAACGGGCTCTGGATAGTAGAAAAGAGTTACCAGATGACTGGGAAAGTAAAACTGAAGTGGTGCGAAAAACTGCCAAGAGGTCTTTGGTGTATCCTCTGGACAGGGAAAAGAGGATAAGGAGACTAGTGTAATGAGGAAGTACAGGAAAGTGTTTGAAGAAAGAGGTTAACAAAGAAAGGTGGGTGAGAAAAGGTGTAAGGCAAAGAGAGGTAGCGAAAGGCTTACATTATGGATCAGCTCTGAGCCTTCTTATTTGCAATGGTGATTCACAGATGAGGTCAGGCAGTAGTCTCTGTGAGGTATGATGTTTGCAGAAAGCACTGCACAGTCAGAGGGCCTCAAGAGGTGGAGGTATGCTCTGGAGAAAAGGAGAACGAAAGTCAATATAAACAAGACAGAATACATCTATATGAATAAGTTAATAACTCTAAATTTTGAGTTAATAAGTCAAAATTTCGAGTTATGGATACTTGTTTTTTGTTTGTTTTTAGTGGCAGAAACGGGCTTCCATAGTTTAGAGACGCTGGCATTTGGCAAAAATATAGGAGACAGAGCTGGAGGTAGCAGAATTGAAGATGTTAAAAGTCTCCATGAGAGTAGGAGAAATGAGTATATCAGAGGGCCAGGTTAATAAGGAAAGGCATGGACATGTGCAAAGGAGGGATAGTGGATGTTGAATGCGGAGTTGCTGGAGGAAAAGAGTAAAGTCACATAGAAGATTCGTGGAT